AGCTGTCGGATGACATCAAAGCCCGCATGATGCGAGGCACCGACGGGTCTTTGAGCTACCTCAGCTCTGTGCTCGTGTACGCGTGGACAGCGGCTAAATTCCAGTTCCCAGTGGTAGAGGAGATTATGCAGACGAAGGAGAGCAACGGGGAGATCTTGATGAAGGCCGGCTGTGCTGCCAGCTACGCTAAGCTCCTGGGGGACATCACCCAGATGTACGCGGATCTCTCGGACTCCAAGCAGGAGTGCTTCATGAAGGATGGCAACTTCACGGACTGGCAAAAGTGTGCTTACGACTCCGCCGACTCCCTGTACAAGGTGAACTTGGCCATTGCCGAGTCGTCCAATGCCATGTGGCAGTGCTTCGGCATCTACTGGGGCTGCTCGCAGCTGATCAACCAGGCCTATGCGGACCTTTCCAAGGCCTTGGCCGCCAGCATGAAGATGACGGACTCCTGCACCGGGGGCGACGCAGAGCTCTGCCGGTCCTACGCCTTCCAGGTGTTGGGTGTGCTGAGTCAAGGGGGAGGCCTTATGGAGTCTGCCACCGACGACTGCAGCCTCAAGGGAGCTTCTGGTGACTCCCCGCTGAACCCCTGGGCGGCCACTCCCTTCGAGAAGCGCGAGGACGCCTCGGAGACGAGCACCAAAGTCTAAGCTGTTTGGCAAAGTCCAAAGTTTATACCTGACCCGCGGACGCCCGCAGCAATGACTCACGCCGCGGAAGCGCAACAAAAGAGATGGCGGAAGGTTGAATATGAGACTATACAACAAAAACACACCTTTTCACACTTAAACAACTCCAAGTCCGGCTGAACGCACCGCCCGTGGTTTCTCGCTTCTGCCTGACCTGGATTTGGGTTGGAGGTCTTTTGTTTGGAGCTGGTAAGCACCTGGTGCGCACCTTGCCGCAAGGCATGGCGTCGGAAGCTGCTGCTGAAGCATATCGCAGGTGGGTGCGCGAGGGGTGGTTTCCCTTTGCTCTCTTCAATCAGCCACAAGAAAGTGACAAGAAACCAGCAAGAAGCCGGCACTTTGACGAAGGTACCCTTGCCCTCGGTGTTTGCAGTCGGTCTTTGCAGTCGGTCTTTGCAGTCGGTCTTCGCCGCCGCCAGCCGGAGCTACCACGGTGTACATCGAGTGTTACACTTGCAGCTGCAAGAGTCTCTCCGCAAGTTTCTTTTCGCGCGATCTCCATTTAAGCTTTTCTGCGCAAGTTCTCTGTGCAAGTAATCTGCGCAAGTTCCCGGCTCAAACTTCTCTGCTCAAGTTCTCCATGCAAGTTTCTTTGCACAAGCAGTTTGTGCAAGTTTTATATCGATGCAAGCTTCTCCTGAACTCTCGGTGGATGTCTCTTTGCGCAAGTGCTCTGTGCAAGTTTCGCTGTGCACGGTCTCTGTGGGGCAAGAATACTGGGGTCGCGTGTGCAAAGCACAACGTAGCAAAATAGCAAACAACATCAACCTTTTGCACATTGTTGCAGGGTCGGTTTGGTCCCAACACGGCGCCTTTTCGGGTTCGCATTTCTTATGCAAGATGTCTCGCGCTCTGCATGGCTCTCGCACATCTTGCTCTGCCTGCGCTCTCGTGCTGCTTGCTCTGCATGGCCCCTATAGATCTTGCTCTGCGTATACCCTCGTGCTTCTTACTCTTCTCGTGCCGCTTGCTTTGCGTGTGCTCTCGTGTATCTTGCTCTGTGCCATTTGGCTGCACGATAAGACTGGCGATTTTCAAAAGATCGAGAAGGGGTTGCTACCTGTGCTTCCCATATTGATATTTGCTTGCACTGAACAGTCGCCAGAAAAGGAGCTTTCAAAACGCTGCGAAATAAACAACAACGCCAGCAAGGGAGCAGCACGCACACTTGAGGTTTTATGCGGGCTGCTTTGGGGCGCAGTTTCCCAATGTCCACTTGGGAATGCAATACCGCAGATGTCTCTACTGCTACCTGCAGGGTGCCGGACCTACTTTATGGCAGGCTGCGGGTGATGAAGATTCCCTGCACTCGGCCCAACGACTTCTATGCTGAGATGATGCGGCCTGGGGCTCCGCTTGAGCAGTTGGGCAGTCTCTCAAAGCCTTTCACCTCACGGGTTCACTTGGACCATTCGCTGACGGTTTTTGATGAGCCCTACTGTCCAGAAAACCACGGTGTGTTCGTGGCAGGGCTGGGGTGCAGATTGATGTGTGTCGTGACGGCCTTCAGCCAAGAAATGTGAGGCCTGACAAGCAGATGTACAGAGTGCGCCAACAGGCTTCAGAGGAGGAGCGCAGAATCAAGGCAGGTTTTTGTGACAAGGGGAACAAGGGTAGCTCGTGTTGACCCCAGATTGATAAACTAGGGGGCTCCCCCCAAAGGTGAAGGCTTTCCCAAAAGCGGACGCCGCCTTATTGATCGACCAAATCAATTGATCCTGGGTTGTCATTCTGGCAGCATTGCCCGGCGAAGTTCTGGGGACAGCGAAGCGTTCAACTGAGAGCGCAGACACCATTGCGGCATGTCGCGATTGCATGAGGTATGCTTTTGCTACATGTCCTGTAGCGGCTTGCTCTTAGTGCCTGTGGTGCCTGCGAGTAGTGCCCTCCCTGGCAGATTGTGGAAGACAGGAAAAAGCATCAGGCAAGCAAGAAGTTTGCCAAGCAGGCCTGGCGTGCCTGGCGGGGTGCGCTCGGAGGACAATTTGTGTCTCGCTTGGCCAGGCCAAATCCAAGAAGCTGGAAGAAAGAGCCAAGGCGCAGTGGGCGTTGTGAGGGTGGTCTCGGTGTTAGCGAGTTTTTTTGTATGCAGTTGGGCAACGCAACATGTGAAGCGGTAGTTGCTTTGGACTGTGGGGCAGGACAAGCGCAACTCTCTGGAGCAAATTGCGGATTGGCAAGCTCGGAAGAAGATGCATGGGAAGAATGTGGATGACCAGGAGGGGGGTTTGGACCATATCCAGCGCGGCCCTGGTGAGCTGGCAACAAGCTGAACTTTCGAGTCATCCCTCTGTTTGCAGAAAGTTCATTGAGAAGGTTGCAGCTGTTCATTTAGAAAGCTCAGCAAGTGGGCGAGGGCTGGCTCTGGAATGTCGTTCAGACGGCGTTGTTGACGCGGTTTCGGATACCCTCTTGCCCCTCTCACAGACTGTTCATGGCGTCATATGTACAAGCTTTCTTTTGCGTGACGTTGCCATGGTGGAGAGTATTCCTACAAGCTTCGTTCTACAGAGCTTCTCATATTGGGTTTCGTGGCACATGTACGTGTTCATCTTTACTTCAGAATTTTCCCGCTTGCTCAGACCTGTGTGGGGCTTGTGTCGTGATTTGTACCTGTAGACCTTCTGGTTATCCTAGCCCGAGCCCCCAGCGGCCTTCCTTCTGGGGGACCCTTTCCTGCTACTTAACCATACGTCGGTCCGCCCTTTAGGCCAAGTAGCTCGGCAGAGGTCCTTGAAGGAAGGTGAGCGCGGTTGGCCGGACTTGGCTGATGCAGAGCCGTAAGTACTGCTCATTGATATCGTTGGAATTTCTCCGAATGGACAATGCCCTGCATCGTGTGCTGCACTTCGAAGAGGAGCAGAACCTCAACGCTTTGTGGCTAGTAGTTCCATGTGTGATATTTGTTTACCATGTTTGACGCAATGGGCGCAGTTTCGGGTTGACATGGCGGACTCACTCACGTTCCCGCCAACTGGAGGGTGGGGGGAGGGACTCCGCGGCATGCGAGCGCAGGACTTGGAAGAGATTCTGAGTCGGCAGAAGCCGAAGGATGATGGGTGCCTCGCATGATACACGCTGAAAAGGGACGTGGAACCAAACAACATTAGGTTCTCATTGCAATTCTATTTATATATACACATATGTGTACACACAAACATGCACATGTGTATGCACATAAACAAATAGTTACATTTGTCATTGTCCCAACATCATTTTTTGCCTATTCGGGGTTCCGTGTTGGGTTTTGTCAATAAGTTTAATGATCGCAGACTCAAGGCTGTTTGAGTTTGTGCCCAGGAAAGGGAAGGGGAAGGGCAAGGGCAAGGCTGGACCGAAGATTGTGTTGGGCATGCTTGGAGTTGCTACAGGTCGTCAAGCCTTTGATCAGGTTTGAGCAACTGGAGGTGAGCCTGTTGAAGGGACATGGCCTGGAACAATATGTGCGGAGCTCTGACCATTGTTTGTGCTTTAGGCCAAGAAGTCAGCGAAAAGACGAAACCTGGATGAGAAGTATGGCTTTGGAGGGAAGAAGTGGCTGCCCTAGTGTACTCTGATTGAGCGGGGCTTGCTTTAGCTGCCATCGGCGAGGAAGAGAAAGAAGCAGAACGACAGGTCGTCAATGGACGACATGTCCAAATCTCCATGGGAGCGGGGCTTGGTGACTGCAGCGTCGCAGCGATTCTTTCCGTCGGACTGTCCGGGCCGAGGCCAAGAAGGGTGAGGGCAAAGGAAAAGGAAAGGGAAAAGGCAAGGGAAAAGGCGGGCTTCAGCAGTGCTTCTGCAGTGAACACCGTGAGATGCAGGAAAAAGAAAGAGATGAGCCTGAAGATGTTTCTCTAAGACTCGGCGCCTGTAGCTTTGCTGGTCATGTCTTCGTGGCAGTCTATTTGACGGAAGTGACAATGCACATTTGCTTTCTCACCCATCACCCCTCACCCCGAAGTGACCACCCTGACTTTGGCTTGGTTCAGCGTAGCTACTCAGGAGTTGAGCGCTTCACCCGCACCAAAATTGGCCGCGGCTGGCAGGGTCGAATAGACTTGGCCGAGCCAACTTTTCCATGATTGGGAGTTGAGTAAGCTACACTTCGGGAAGCTCATTTTTCTCCAAGGGTGTCCTTTTTTCGGCTATTAGGGGGAATCTAAGGGAGACCACCCGTTTTGCTGCTTTCTCATTTTGACGCTTCCGAGACTGCCGACTGGCTTTTTTCCGCAGCCCAGGCTCGGCACCGAATGATGGCACACAGAAAGGACAAAGTGACAAGAAACATGAGTTCCAACCATGGCCGACCGATGGCTCGCA